AATTTCCTCTTTGTTTGGTCCTGCTATCAACATGTCATCAACATATAGCAATAAAATGATGAATGAGTTACCCTGAGTTCTTATGTAACAGCAATGATCTGCCTGACACCTCTGAAATCCACTGCTACACATAAAACTGTCAAACTTCTTATACCATTGTCTGGGAGCCTGTTTGAGACCATACAGGCTTCTCTGAAGTTTGCATACCATTTTCTCTTGCCCTTGTACTGTAAATCCCTGTGGCTGCACCATGTAAATTTCTTCCTCCAAATCACCATAAAGAAAAGCTGTTTTTACATCCATTTGTTCTAGGAACAAATCTTCTTCTGCCACTATCGATAGAACAGTCCTAATGGTAGTTAGTTTAACTACGGGAGAGAAAATCTCATTAAAGTCAATACCTTTCTTTTGTTGAAAGCCTTTGACTACAAGCCTTGCTTTGTACCTTTTGCTGCCGTCGGGTTCCTGTTTGATTCTATATACCCATTTATTCTGCAAAGCTTTCTTACCTCTTGGTAACTCAGCAAGTTGCCATGTATTATTGATCATTAGAAAATTTATTTCATCTTTCATGGCTAACTCCCACTTAACAGAGTCTTCCAGCTAAACCGCCTCTTCATAACATTCAGGTTCACCTCTGTCAGTTAGTAAAATGTAATTCAATGTAGGGGAATACCTCTGTGGTGGTCTGATTGTTCTGCTAGATCTTCTAACGGTTGGTAGTGGTGTTCTCTGAACCTGATCAGTTTTCACAACTGGTTCTTCAGGTTCATCAACTTGTTCATCAGATCCCACAGCTGTTTCTTCAGGAGTAATTGTATTCTGATCTTCAATCTCTGTTGTTTTAGTCTCAACCTTAAGAGGACTTATATACTGAGTATTCTCTGTRCTTCCATCTAACTCTGTCTTTCCTGAATCAACTTTATTTCTGTCTTTGTATAAGACTTTCTCATTGAAGATCACGTTCTTGCTTCTGATAATCTTCTTGTTTTGGTCATCCCAAAATCTGTAACCTATCTCAGCTACACCATACCCAATAAAGAAACATTTCTTGGATTTGGCATCCAATTTACTCCTGTCTGCAGCATCAATGTAAAGGTAAGATACATAGCCAAAAACCTTTAGATGGGAAAGGTTTACCTGTTTACCGGTCCAGACTTCTTCAGGCAATTTGAAGTCTAGTGATGTGGTCGGGCTCCTATTGATCAGATAGGTCGCACAGTTAATTGCCTCTGCCCAAAACATCTTAGGCAATTCTACATGTATTCTCATGCTCCTAGCACGCTCATTCAGCGTCCTGTTCATTCTCTCTGCCACACCGTTCTGCTGCGGTGTCCCTAGAAGAGTCTTTACCATCACAATTCCACTGTCTTCACAATATTTCTTGAATTCCCTACTAACATATTCACCACCATTATCTGACCTCAAGCTTTTGATTTTCAGGCTTGTCTCATTCTCTACCATAGTCTTCCATGTTTTGAA